TTCGTATAGTACTGAGTCTGCCAGCACGGTTAACATACGCTCGACCGAAGCCAAACAAAGTTGTAATGGCGTCATACTAGCGTCACCAGATGCTTCAACATTGTTAGGTTTAGCAGAAGACATAGCAACTAAGGCAGTCTCGACTGACTCAGACCATGATATTTGAGCTGCAAGTACAACCAACTGAGCCTGGTATTTATCGAGCCAGGCTAAGAAGCCCTCACGTTCCAGGTCACCAGCTACTCGCATCCTCTACGATAAATTAAATAGCAAGATTTAGGCTAATGGTAGGGGAAAAACTAATGTGAACGAATAATCGAATTAACACTGGTGAGAACATGAACAGCATTTTGGAAATTTGGCAAAAAAAAGTTCTGTTTTTAGAAAAATAAGCCATAAATGGGTCTATTCGGTCGAAATGGTGCTAAAAGCAAAACATGTTAAGAGAATACACGAACTTGGTAGAATAATAGTATACAAATCGGACAGAAATGTGTTCAACCAACATGAATGAGGAGTTTTAAGAGTTAAAATTGGACCAATTACAAAAATTTAACGAGAATCATAAGAAAAAATGCAAGCAATGCGATTCCTCAGAATGGTAATCAAGCAATGAATAAGGTATGGCAGTGTATAAGCCAGTAGGGTATTTAAATTTAATTAAAGTGATGGTCACAGTAGGTGAATTAGGTAATCCACATAGAATGAATGAGAATTCGTTAAGGCAAACACAAATATTTACCGTATATAAGCGGAATTTCGAGACTATCATTAAATCAGATATATGAGATGTATTTACTTTATTTCGTTTAAAGTAATCAAGGACGGGTAGTTGAATTTTTCCAAAATGATATGAGTAAATCAAAGATATAAAGACCAAGATGGTGTGGCCTTTTGTGTGGTCGCATTCTCCATTCGTTGTATAGAAGTAGTTTGACCTTGATTTCGCAACTTGGTCATAATAGTAGGAAGACTTATAGAAACGCACCTTTTCCTGAGTCCATTGTTTGCATAATTATTTCCAGAGTCGGACC